ATCCGGAATCTCGGGAGGTTTTGGAGTGCGGGGACGGAGGCATAAAGCCTAGACTACCCAGGTAAACCCCTAGCCCTGAATCTCAGGATGCTTGTGATACGACTTCGACCCGGGAAACCCAGACTGACAGTGCGTAGGGTAGCGGCGACCAAAATCAATCGACTGCTGTCGACATCGTTTTCTATCTGTTGCTGTCCTCTCTCTCTCTCTCCACTCTGTCTCGCTCTATCCCTTCACTCGAACAGACTCTAGGCTGCGTGTGTGTGTGTGTGTGCAAGTTCATAAGGAAGACTACGAAAGACGACAGGGCCCTACTACTTCACTTTTGCTGTGGGATGTGACCGTGCTATCTGAGACGGTTGGAAATCGACACACGCGTGTGTGTGTGTGTGTGTGTGTGTGTAAATAGATGTGGTTCAGAGAACTGCGGGAAACTAGAGTCGGGATATTGTGGTTCTCAAACTACAGGAGGCTATCTATTGTCGGATATTATACGGTTCTGGGAAATACAGGAGGTTACAGCTATCCTCACTCGGATATATGGGTCTGAGAACTACAGGACAAGTTTCCCGTATCGTCGGATGTATGCTGAGAGAGGCAGGGTTTTTCAGCTATCGTCGGATTTGTGGGTCTAAGAGCTACAGAAGGTTACAGCCATCTTTTGATGTAATGTGGATCTGAGAAACACGGGACACATCTATCGTCGGATATCTGGGTCTGAGAACTGAAAGACAGGTGACAGCTATCGTCGGATATGTGGGTCTGAGAACTACAGGAGGTTACAGAGCCATGGTTAGATAGATGGGTTTGACAAATACAGGGCCAGGACCGGTTACAGCTATCGTCTGATATATGGGTTTGAGAACTACAGGACAGGACAGGTTACAGCTACCGCCGGATGTATGGGTCTGAGAACTACAAGAGGTTACAGCTATCGTCAGATCTATGGGTTTGAGAACTACAGGACAAGACAGGTTACAGCACAAGACAGGTTACAGCTACCGTCGGATGTATGGGTTCGAATCGTCAATCTATGGGTTTGAGAACTACAGGACAAGACAGGTTACAGCACAAGACAGGTTACAGCTACCGTCGGATGTATGGGTTTGAGAACTACAAGAGGTTACAGCTATCGTCAGATATATGGGTTTGAGAACTACAGGACAGGACAGGTTACAGCTACCGTCGGATGTATGGGTTTGAGAACTACAAGAGGTTACAGCTATCGTCGGATATATGGGTTTGAGAACTACACGAGGTTACTGCCATGGCCTGATAGATAGGTCTGAGAAGTTCAGGACCAGGAACCGGTTGCATCTATCGTCGGGTCAATCTGGCTGTGAGCGTGCGCGTGGGAGTGTCGAGTTGAAGGGTTTCCAACTCGGGGTTTGCATTCTTAGCTAGTATTGGGCTACTATTAGGCTTTCGGGGCTCATGTTTAAATTGTTTGACTTCTGGCGGGGGGTATAAGTCTAGTTTTTACGAGGGACTAGGGAAATCGGAAGCCAGGATAGATTGCACTGCAAAACAAAACCCTCAGGCCGGCTTCATCCTGAAATCCAACCACGTTCAAAGAAGATGCTGCCCGGCATGCACAAGCGCAGCATACATGCACAGAGCACACGTCGAGACGAGTTTGCCTTCAAACAACTAACAAGACAACTCACAATCGTGTGCGGCTCAGACCCTCAAGCCTCAACCTTCCAAGAAACCCGAGCAAGTCTTTCCGAATACAAAGTAGATCCCACGATGACGTCTGAGAGGCAGAGACAGCCACTTCTTCTGCACCACCGGGCGGAGGCACCTGAGCTCATGCTGCATTGACAGTTTACGACGTAGTTTGCAAGGTTTTCCGTGGGGCGTTCTACATCCTGCAAAACACGTTTAATTTGCTTTAGCTATATGTGCGTAATTGTGTCTAAGTACAGGAAGATCAATATCTCAGGTTTCCGCAAACATGCGTGTGTGTGTGTGCATGAATGCATGGATGGTCCTGCCAATCAAACATGACGAAGCGCACGCTCGGACTCTCGCACGATTCAAGCAAGTGGCAGGCGTTGCAGCTGCAGCGGTGCCGGCCAGATCGAAGCCAGCAGCATCAACCGCTGCTTGTGATTCCTGGGCTTGCAGCTGACTCCCTCTGAAGCTTTTTATGTGCTTGTGGGGATGAAGTCTTACAGGGATTGTGTCGGCATTCGGGCTGGTGTGATCAACTTCGTGGGTGGCGAGGGTTTGCGGCTCTTTTGTGATTCTTTGGGAATATGAGACGAGAGAGTACTTGGGCGAATTCTTGGGTCTAAGTAGTTATTATAACATATACCCCCACCNNCCCCCCCCCCCCCCCCCCCCGCTTAGAACCCATAAGATCAATAAGAAACTGAGCTGCCATCCCAAACAGACGACCAAACTGAGCAATAGCCCCAAGCAGCTCTCGGAGGTGCATGCTAGTAACAGTCCTTTACGGTCGTTTCAGTCTCGAAGCTCAAAGTCTTAAAGGCACATTTGGGGGTTAGTTTGAGGTTTAACATTGGGTTTGTGTGGCTTCAAACTTAGGGTTTTTGTAGCTTAGGGCTTAGGGATTGTAGGGCTTAAGACTGAGGTTTCGGCTTTCCCAGAAATCCTGAACCCTGGCCCGACACCCTAAGACTCCTGAAGCTGCAAGAGATGGTCGCTACGTCCTCGAATTCTCGAAGCTCATATTTAAAGGCTTTTGAGGAGCATGCTGGGTTTAAATTAAGGCTTCGGATTCGGGGCTTAGCTTCGGGTTTTCGAGCTTGAAACTTAGGGTTTTGGGGCACTTAGGAGTCGGGATTTCGGCTTTCCCCACAAACCTGGATCCTGGCCCGACACCCTAAAACTCCTCAAGCTGTTACATTCCTTTAGGGTCGTTTCGGGGGTTTAAGGGTTCCGAAAGACTCTGAAGCCATCAAAGCTCGACAAAGCCATCATCATGCGACCACTTGGAGGGTCGGGAGACTTTGTAAGTAGGTAATTAGTAGACTTATAGGTACCCTAAAAGGGACCACCGTAATTGGGATATGGTGCTTATAAGTCTATAAAAATAATAACCATTTACTAACTCCCCCGACCCTCGACCCTCCAAGCATGTACCACTCTCCGAAAGCAAGGCTTGATTAAGCCCGGAACCCCAAACCCGAAAGCCTACTAACCCTTATAGCCCTAAGCCGAAATCCTCCCTTACCGAGGCATTGCTTGCAATGAAGTACGTGATTTCCGAGATGCTCCCGACCCTGTGCTGGCCGATGAAGAGGAGCTGTCCTGATGGGGTTAAGAAGGGTTTAGGGTTTTAGGGGGAGGGTTTAAAGTTTAGGGGGAGGATTTAAGGTTTCGGGGAGGGTCCACCCCAAGGCATAAACAAGAGTCCTCGCTTTCGGACGACAGCACAGCCGTGCTGGAGCCAAAGAGCCGCTCCGCATCCTAGCCCGCAACATGTTGCAACCGGACTAAGACTAAGCATTACTCAATTCAGATTCACATCATCAAGCGGTCCTGGGCTTGCGCTAGCAACGACTCGAGGTCATTGCCACCGGTTGTGGCACGTCCCTTGCCACTCTTCTTCTTCTTCTTGCTGTTTCTCTTCGAGTCTTTCTTCTTCGGGGCTTTCTTCTTCGGCCCCTTGGACTCGGTCTTCCTGCCCCGTCCTCGATGTCCAGCTTTCTTCGGCGCCTGTCACGGTGCTACGACATGTTGAACTCTGAAAATCACATCTACAGGCACGTCAACTGCATAAACTGAGCACAGCATCACGGCGCCTCATCACTGGATTCTTCATCGTCGTCATCATCATCTCGCCGTTTTTTGCTCGTCTTCTTATCCGGCTCGTCACTCTCGTTCTTCTTCTTGTTCTTTTTGCTGGCCTTGGCTTTGGATTTCGAAGTTTTTCTGGCAGGTCTTTTTTTCGGCGTTGAAGCATCTTCTTCTTCCTCTTCGCCCTCGTCGTAATCTAGGTTCTCGTCGGCTGAACCCAGATGCTCAACATCGTCGTCGCTGTCATTCACTTCGAACCTCTCGAGCTTCCGAAGCCCAGTAGATCCTGCTTGGGTCTGGGATTCCCCTTGCCTGGCGGCAGCACTCATTGACTGCAAGTCGTTCTCATAGGCCTCCAGCTGAAAGGGAGGCGAGTTGAAGGAAGGGGAGGTGTCAGTGCTGGCGGCATCCATCTTCGGAAAACCAAGGGGCCCAGGCTGCTGCAGTCAGCAGCACTACCCTGTAACCCAAAAAGCTTCAACACAACCCAACTTGCAGACGGCTCGTTGCATCAACAATGCACAGGAGAGATCTGAATCTACAGCGGCTGACAGAGCGCCTCGGCTTGGTCTGATGAATGTTTTGTGGCGGCAAGCAGTGTGTGCAACGACTGTCTTGAGACACTGCCAGCTTGCGCAGCAAAAGTTTCGTCAAGCCCTAGGCTTCTTGTGCTATGTATTGCATACTAGAGTATGGTTTTCATACAAGTCACAACCTTGCACTCAACAACACATGAAAGCCCAGAGCAAGAACGAGGGAGCAGGACTCTTCTAAGTCACTTCGCATGAGGATAGGCCCTGGCTTTGTTGCTACTTGCACAGCACCCGAGCAAGACTCGCGCAGGCAGACAAGTGAAAGAATGGATTCAAGTCGAACATAGCGGATTGTTTGCACGATGCCAGTAATGTCCGTCTACGAGATAATACTCTTTCAGAATGTGAAGCCAACTTGCGGAATGCCAGCTACCTGCGCACTCAGATGACCCCAAGTATGCTTCAGTCTGGAACTTGATAATCCAGAAACCATTCCTCCCCTTGCCACACTAAGCCTGCTGGAGTCTTAACACCTACGGCAAGCATCCCAGGTTATCCCCGACGGCTTGACTTGCCGATCCCACTGCAGGCTCGTGCGAGCCCAGAACGCTCAGAGAGCTCGGAAAACTCCTGGCTGGACAGACAGCTCAGTCATGTGGATCAAGACAGGCCGCACCGGGGTGATCTGCCGGTTGTTGTTCAGCCTAGCAGGGTGCACAGCTTCACGAATCCCAAATCGGAGCTATGAACAGCAGGCTCTCTGAGTCTGAGGTTGTTAACAAGCTCATAGGCAGGCCTCACACGCCAGCTCAGCTTGAAAGGGGAGCGAACAGAGCGAAGTTTTGCAGCATCCATGTGTGCACCGAAAGTCAACGCTCTCACCTGCCACAACAGATGAACGGTTTTGCTTTTCTCCGGATAGATTTTGGATTTCGGCGGAAACATAGCCAACTCTACCGGGGGAGGGATACATTGGAAAAGAACGTTTCTAAGCCCCAGCAGCGCCTTCGAGACTCGCCGTTTCTTGGTCGGGCTTGATTTCACCTCATCCATGATGAAAACGATATTTTCATTGACCTGCAGCTGCTCGTTGTCCTTCGTGTGCCCCATAAACGAGACGATCTCGCCTTTGTCCTCCATGGCCACTAGGAACTCCTTCAAGCTCACGACCTGCATTATTTGCATTATGTTAGGAATGTGTCGGAACCCATTGGAGAATCCACGATGAACCCACGAACAAAACCATCGAATCACCATTCCTACTTGTTCCTATTCCTGGCACTATACTTTTACTCCCAAACCATACAGCCTGGTTCCAGACGGGGAGGGACTTGAGGTCATCTGAAAGCTTTCTGTCGCTTTCAAAGATCACGAAGACATCAGACAAGGGTCCAGCCAACGAGTAGCGATACCAACGGCCATTTCCATCGGATAGCACATCCTTAGCAGTAGGCCCGTCGACAAAGTTGCCTGAGCCGAATCCCAGCCATTCCGTCTTTGCAGGGATGCCACAGATTCGGTCCGACCCGACCCACAATGTGTTCTCATCCGGGTCGTAGTACAAGTTGACGTCGCCGCACGTGCTTTCGAGGAGCCTGATGAATTCAATGCACAGAAATTCAAACACACCATTGAAGGCATTCAATCTGAAGCACATCAAACACCCACAAAACCACTCGTTACAACTCTAGCAAGAAGCTGCTTGTGCTCCTCGCGGAATTTCGTCATGTCATCGTAAGCTTTCTCAAGCTTCCTGGGCGTGTTGGCCTCGCGCTTCCTTCGAACGCTTTCCAGCTCGGTTTTCGCCTCTGCCAAGCTGGCTTTCTTATGATCCTTGTTGAATTCGTCGTCGTGCTTCTTCAGGATCTGAGCAAACTCACCCGCAAAGACCGAGTTCTGGAATTTGGCAATCAAGCCCTCAAGCACGATGAGGTTTGCACCCACAGGCACAGTCACCAGGTAGTCGTAGTCAGACCGGGCAGAGTCCGTGTGAACCTTGCTCAAGTCGGACAAGGCCGCAGTGAAATCCGGGAAGCCTGCAATGCTGAGCTGCTTCGTCTTGGCCCGGTCGAAGAAGTCATGAAGGAGCACCTCCTTGCCAAATTTCTAGAGATTCGATTATCTAATCCAGGATGATACCTCAACCATTAAATACTCCAAACACTCAATTGGATCAATCCCTTCCTTGGTGAACTTGTACTCGATATCTGTGTGAGCAATGGACCCGCATGCGATAGCAAGGTTCTCGATGTGCAGCTGCAAGCATGCAAGGGGAACCCAACCATCGTGGGCGAACAAGTCGACCACCACAGTCTTGCTTTTGGCAATGTCAAGGCTCGTCAAAATCTTCTTGATGACCGCCGTTCCGCCAAGGTGCTGCCGGAGCTCCTCATATGCATCATCGACAAACATAGCAGGGCACTCATCACTGTCATTGCAAGTCACTCGAACGACACAGACGGACTGCAACCAAGTTCCTGCGTGCGGGACAATCGGTCCGTGTCCGCCGAAATCTTGCGGCCGGCCTCCACTTTCACCATGTCCTCAGAATACAGACAACAACATGAAGTTTCAACAAGTCAGCACCGCCACATGGCTACCCCATGCAGCCGAACAACACAGCGCTGCAACATCGGAATCTTGTCCACGATGAGACGCTTGAACAGGTTTTTTCGTGGCAAGACTGTCGAAGCCGAGCTCGTCACCAACCAAGCCTCGTGACACGCAGGCCTTTGCCCATAAATGGTTGACTCCTCGAAGATGAGTGTCAAGTTGCGCACCGACAGCTGTCTTGCCGGCTCCTGCAACAAGACCTGGAAATTGTACTTGAAGTCCCGAAGGGATGTCATGGCCTCCACATCAATCATCTTTTCGGCTTGCTCTTCATCCTCCGCTTCCACGGCGGGCTCCTGGCTCTCCTCCTTGACATCCTTCGGCTCCTCTTTCCTAGGATCTTCGCAGCAAGTATAACCCCCTTAATCATCCAGAAGCCAGCAAACTGTCACCAAGCTGTACCACCGTACATACACACGAATTTCAACACGGTCATTGTCATTTAGACTCACAATCTCACTCACTCAAATTCAATCACACACACACACACACACTCTCTGTCTCTTTCTCTCTCTTTCTCTCTGTTTCTCTGTCTCTCTAAGTTGCAACAAGATTCGACCCAGGCTTCCTCAGCAAGTAGCTCTCATCACATGCCCGGTTCGGGAGAATGACCACTGCCACAAAGCTGTTCGGATGATTGGCAGCAGCACTCTGTAGTGACTGGACGAGAAAAGTTTGCTTCGCGGAGCTTACCACCCCTTGCGACACCAAATTGGCAACGTAGACGATCATCTCCGAAGATGCAGACCGCACGCCTCCTTGGAGGCCTGACAAAGCTTCTGCCAGCCAAGGTTTCAAAAGTGGCTCCATTGGCGGGCTTTCGAAATCTCGTTCGGAGCCTTGCCGCTTCTTCGGTGTCAAATTGAACACCGGAAAAGCATCCTCGCCAAATCGTCGCACGTGTGTCCAGGCCGACTTGTGCAGAGACTGAGGGTCAGTCATCACAGCACATCGGATCTTTAATTTGATGAGACAGCTTGGGACTGATTCAAAAGACAGCTTGGAACTGATTCAAGAGACAGCTTGGGACTCATCGAAGAGACAGCTCGGGACTGGTGAAGCAAACAACTTGGGACTGATGCAGACTTTTGCAGGATACTCTAAGTCTACTCATGGTGTCACAAATTCGGGGACCATTCCTGTAATTCCAGCCTCCAGCATTGCAACTGCAGCCTGGCGCTTTCGTTCCGAGTCTCCTGATGTCCTCAGAAGTTCCCTTAGTTGCTGCAAGCAAAGCTTCTTGAGGCACCAACAACATGCAAACACTGCAGCTTCTAAGCATCCTAACTGTTGATTTAGAAAAGGTGCGCTCGGAAAAAACTCTGGTCTTGCTGCAACTGGCTCATGAACAAGTCAAAGGCTGACTTCTCGGCCACACGCAGAGCATTCTGAACATTGGCCTGCCCCTTCTCCATGAACTCGTGCTGCATGTGTCCACGAGCTTCAAGGAAAAAGCCCATCTTCTCCGGGTTCCACGCTGGATCCCGAACCCTCAGAGCTCCACGAAGCTCCATATCCAAGGTCCTCAGTTATGAAGGTGACTAACATTTGGGCACACAAAATCTCGACCGTGACTCGTCGCAGTTGGCACACACACACACACACACTCGCCCTCATACACGCATGCACGCGCAGAGCTCTTTTGCGTTCTTGCACACGACAGCATCCGGAGTCGAAAGATGCTAACATGCTACCTAATTTGAAGAGACTGAAAGCCGTGGGGTGGGAAACTCTACATAATTTCAAACCCCCAGCAATATTCACAAGGACTGTGTGACGAACTCAATCTGCTGGAAACAAGGATAACCAAGCAATGCTGTTGGAATCATCAACCCATCTGGAAGGATGTACTTTCTTGCCGAACTACAGACTATAGTGACATACAGTGTTTGTTTTCAGATTGTACATTCTTGTCACTATCACCCCTGTGCCTGCTAGATACACAACCAGTGAAGGCACTAGACAACATAATCAAGAAATTCAATGTATTTTCGGGCTCCGGTATCTGATTGTCAGGAATACAGTGATTTCTGGTTTTCAATGTATTACTTTCTGTGCTGGGCACCATCAATGTATTTTGCTGGTCCTGGATCTATATCCTAGAAATACATTGAACGGTTCCTGCTTATTGATAAATACAGCGATTCCTGGATTTCAATGTATTTTCCGGGTTTGGGCTCGGTCCCACCAGAATACATTGAATTTCTGTCTCAGCTAGCAAATCCATGTATTTCCCATGTCTAGGCTCGGGCTCCGAGAATGCATTGAATTTCCCCACACCGGGCTGGCTCACAAATGCATCCAATTTACAACGGCTCAGGACTCAGTGATAACATCTCAGAACCGGTGGTCCTCCATTGACATGCGAGTAATCTCGTGAGATTGAATGACCATCTGGAGCCTCCTGCCCAATCTTCGGGCTGATGGAAATGCCTGCATGGGAACTAAGCTGTTTCACTCATGGGAACTCTCAACAGTCTCCATTATATTTGTCACACGAACTGCTCTCAAACTAATAAATGCAAGCCCCGGCACGGAATTGCTCAAGAGTGCCACACGACGCATGATTTGCGCAATGTTGTATATTCCAAGCTGGATGAAATCAATGGCAGTCTCGGCATCGAAGTAACCTTTGGGAAATTTTTCCTGTGGGGTTCTCGGTGTTCTCCGCGTGCTCCTTCTGCCCTGAGCCTCCGATCCTCGTGGCCCTTCCGCCATGATCGTGACTAGGACTCAAGTCCACCACGAAAGGCACTTGGAGCCAGGACAGCTAAGAAACACAAGTCACACGTCCATCCCACAAGTGACACCAAGCCGGGCACAACTGGACCTAAGTGCGATAATTAAGCCCAGGCTCCCCATTTCAAAGGCTTCCTGCAGCTTCTGGGCCCCGGTGCCCAGCGTGCGCTGCATGACCGGCAGCATCCATTCCCAGAGGCAGCAAATTTCCATTACTTCACGCAATTGCTCATTTGTAAGCTGAGCTGCTTTCTGGGTTTTGACAGAGCTGTCGGGAGGGGCTTTCGACCGGTGCTGCGCGGTGACACGCCGTATCCAGGCGACTGTCGCGGTCTCGCTGACCTCCTTATGGTGGGCTCTAGATGTTGGTCGAGACGGATGGGGTTGGGGTTGGGGTTGGGGTTGGGGTTGGGGTTGGGGTTGGGGTTGGGGTTGGGGTTGGGGTTGGGGTTGGGGTTGGGGTTGGGGTTGGTGTTGGGGGGAGGCAAACTGGAAGTGGCTGGGGCGGATCGGGTCATTACAAGACGACTACAACTCACATCACCGCCCTGAGAGCAGATGTGGTATGAATAATACCATTTCGAGCAGGGAGTAGAGAGTCCCGAAACTCATGGAGACCATCAATCCAAAACATATATGTCAATTGAATCTGAACCTTGACCTCAATTCCCCCTCTACGCACACATCTACACGCACACACACGCACAAAGGCATATTCAAACCCACCAGAAGACGAACAACTGTAATCCCAGCTCAGCTAATATTTGGCTGCTACCAAGAAACGAGGATTTCCGGCCATCTCCCTTTGTCGGTCTTTGCTAGGTTGGTCCCCGGGACATAGAAATCACCAGAAAGGTTGTCCAGCGTCAGAGCTGACAGGGAAGAACGACAACATGTTACAATGCACAAGTTTGGTTCTGCGGCGGAGTGTCATCGCAAACCCCCCAACCTGCGTTGAAGTGCCGGTAGTCGCTGTACATGGTCATCAAGGTCTCCTTGAAGACCAAGGGGCACCGAACAACATTGTAGATGATCTTCACGGTGTCCTGCTTCATCTTCTGCCCCTGTCAGTCAAGTATCAGGAATCTTGCCCGAACATAAGACAGGATGAGCCCTACTAACATGTCAGGATCCAGGGCCGTTTAGTTGGGGAGGGCTGAATCCACAACAAAGTTAAAACCACACAGACACACCGAGGGACAGGGCTTAACTGTGAGGTTTCCCTTTGGCCGACGAGTGATTCCAAACGGACCCCTCGCCTTCCCCACAACCTTGTTGTAATCTTGGACACAGAGGTTCAGCAGGTCGCGAGTTGATTTGGCTCCGAGGGACCGCTTCTTGAGGCGAATCGCCTCGCTGAACACACTGACCAACTCAATCGGACTCGCCTGTTGCTTCTCTCCGGTCCGCTGGGTCAACGCAAGAGCATCGTAGAGGTACTCTTCTTCGCGCTCGTGCCTCTTGAAATTGCCCTTTAGATACTTCAGAGTTGCCACACACTTGGCCATGCCTTCGTCCCGGGCCAAATCCTCCGGAGTGATGTCCTCGCACACATGTCTGGATCCCTTGTATCCGTGCAACTACTTAACTACTTCCCTGCCCACCCGACCGCCCCCCCTCACCCACCCAAACCCACCTCCCCACACCCACCCAGACACTCACACAGGCATACAAACAGAAAGACGCCCGCAGACACACGGACACACGCACACACACACACACACAAAACACACACAGACTAATAACATCGTCCACGGCAGGTCAAATATGTGCAACCAAGCAGTCCAGCTTGTGCAGCAGAGCGAAGATGGCCTGGACACAGAGGCTTTTCGTAAAGCCGTCGACAAGCTTCACACTGAAAATCTCGATGCCGTCGACGCAGGGCATGGCACCTGAACGGTGAATTTTGGATTCATGCCAACACAAGCAGCTTGACCAAGCTGTCGCACACTGAATGCTGTCCAAATGTCCTTTCTCGGCAAGAAACCTCACTTCCAGTGGCTCCCTCGAAGCTTCGAAGCCAGCATCAAGGATCGAAAGAAAGTGAATTTTCAGTGTGCACATGTCCGGGTACTTGCAGCTCTCGCCTGCAGCACCATGATAACCGAACAGCAACTGAACATGTCGAGACTGGGTGGTCCTAGACTGAAGACAAGAGGCCGTACTTGCAGTAGCGCGAGTAATCTATCATCCAGGGATTTATCCACATGTCCGTCTTGGAGTCTCCAGGAATGTGGTTGATCGCCCGGTGGGGCTGCACATACTTGGCCACTTCCGGAAGGCCAACATAATGCAGCATGACCTCGGATACTCGCCTAGAGTGGTGAACTAGAGGCCACATCATACTCTCACGTAGCACCAAAACTGTGAAGCACACCCTGGCAAACTCGGTCTGGCCCTCCACAGTGTGTGGAAACCACATTGACATCTTGTCACCGATGTGGCCATCTTTGGTGGCCTCAACCCGAACAGGGGGATCAGGATATTAGGAAGCCCTGCTTAATGATAGCAGACAGCATGTAATCGAATTATACCAGACCTCGAAGAAAGCCATCTCGATCCTGTCCTTGATCGATTGGCCCTGTGCTGCTGCCCCATCCTGGGGCTTGGCATCTGGCTCTGTCTTCACCTCCACAGACATTGCCAGCTGGCCTCGCCCTACACGGATCCACTATCAAGCTGCTGAGCGGAGCCACAGCTCGTCAACATTCGTCAACCCTAGCACGACGCTGTTCTATGCCACATGCATCTTCAGGTCGCAACATGTGAAATGCAAGGCGGCAGCAGCAGCAGCACCGATGCACATTTGCGACCCCAGACGCCCGGAAGTCCTGTCCTACACGCGGTGAAACTGAACCCGCAACATGTGCACATCATTCTCTAGCGGATTTGGCAGGTTGATTCGGGGCGCACCCCTAGCCTGCACATTTTGGGGGTTCAAGAACTGCAGCACAGGAAGTCTTTCCTGAGGCATGACAACTTCTCCGGCCAACTGGCGGAGATACAAGATCCCTCGGGGGTATTGCCGGGGATAACGCTTGCCCAACCAAGCTGCCAGATCAGAGAACTCCTCTATCTTTGCATCATCCAAGGCACGAGAAAGGCCTCGGCGCAAGCACATTCGATAAGGTCTACAACGGTCAACACAATGACAATGACACTGACTACAGTTACACCGAAAGCACGAATAGTCTGCAGCCATGCAGCAAGAACATCTAGCCGTAGACAGTCGAGTCCAAGCAGTCATGGTTGCTGCCAGCGCAGCTCCAGGAAACACTACCAAAGCCTTTTGACTGACATCCACGTCACTGATATACCGCTTGACATAACAGAAGACATCCGCGTCGTTTTTTGGAAATCTGCGCGGCAGATTCTCTTTGACATCACGAAGCAAAGCCTGAGGCAAACCTTGGTTTCTTCTCGTTACACACGGAAGCAGGAAGCCTACAGCCTTACTTCTGGGTTTGATTTCCAATCATGTCCCGAGTGTCTTTCTCTGCGCACAAAAGTGAAGGAATGAGGACTCACCTTCCCAGAGTCGTCATCATCTTTCCTTTTACGAAAGATATTGTAAACTTGCGCAGAGTCAGGAAGTTCCTTCTTGAAATCACGGATGTTCGTAACATGCTCGATGTGAACATCTTCGGGCCGGTCTTGAAAAAGACGCTGTAGCTTCTGCTTCAAGAATTTCACCACATCTGCGGGGCATTGCCTGAGATGGCACTACCCACACCACAAGGTTCCCTACACCCTCACCAAGCACCTACTGTTGCTGCCGGCAAACATATCTACACCAGCATGACTGATCAGGGAGGTCAGCAGGCCAAAGAAAGCATCTGAGTTACCACAATCAGGTCATTGAGTGCTCGCTATGACATGCCGATTTCATGTTACAAACAAACTTCCGAACATGATCCAACCGGGCTCCTAGCCAACATCTTCGTGAGTATGTCCCACAGGCAGGTGCTTCAGGCTGCACGATGTAAAAACAGAGGCCGCGGTCATGGCCGTAAACACCTTGCTGACACAGCTGTTGCGCAGCTCACGAGATGTGTTGTCTCCAAACAGAATGCAATGTCCCGGGAAAGGCTGCCCATTCTGCTGTGCTTTGTTCCACTCTTTCTCAACTGCCCTCGTCCAAATCTCCATTGCCCAATTGGCACCCACGGTCTGGTTCTCATCAGTTATGAATATGTTCACAGACCGACCGTGTAATATAACAGCATACACATCAAGAGACGGACGCTGCTTCTTGTCTGCTCCTTTAGGTGTTCTGAGATTGTGCCACCGAGGTAGGGCATACTTGGCACGGTCCATTCCATCGATGATTCCCAGCAAAATGTCCCCATTTCTGAGCACCTTTCGCGCCAACAAAAGCTTGAGATTCTGATTTCGCTGGTAAACATGCAGCCTTGAAATACCGATTGATTAGTGGTTTGCTGACAAGCGGCTCTTGCTCGAAGGCTTGCATATACTTTGCGGTCGGCAAACATGCCAGCCAAATGGCGATGATACTCATCACATAGTTTGGCATGTTCCACGAAGTCACGGGCGTGCGCGATTGCGGCTTTGAGACGATGGCATATTGCGCATTGTGTGTGCTGTGTTTTGTGCCTAAATCTCAGGATTCGTTCATAGCCCGATGACTTGAATGCCCTGTAAAATGTTTTGATTGAGGCCACTTCCACACCAGCCGAAATACAGGAGGAAAGGTATAAATGATAAAGATCTGAACGCTTGCCTGGCGGAAGATACTTTATCGGAAGATGCTTGGGAGGCAATATGCCTTGCAACTCGTCCTGTAATGCCGCATCCAGCATACATTTGAGAATGTCAGCTTGGTACTTATCCGTGGAGAGCACATCGCCAGTCAACCCCTCTTTGATTTTCAGCCTGCAACAACTCTTGCAAAAGCTGCCACACACATGTGTGCTATGTGTTCTACTCTGGGTTTTTTCTCACAACACTAGCTACTACTCAATGCGCCCTGGAAGCCCTACCCGACCAGCGCTAACACTAGGACATGTTACCACTACTCTTGTCAGTACTACTACTACTACTACTACTACTACTGCTGCTGCTACTACTACTACTGCTGCTGCTGCTACTACTACTATCACTACTACTGCTAAGATTACTTCTACTATTACTACTACTACTACTACTACTACTACTACTACTACTAGTACTGCTGCTACTGCTACTGCTACTATTACGACAACAACTACTACTACTACTACTACTACTACTACTACTACTGCTACACCACCACCACCACCACCACTACTACTACTACTACTACTACTACTACTACTAGTACTACTAACTTCCTGTCAAGGACGAGCAGCTCGTGCGGCAAGGGCTCGGCTATGCCCCAATAAAGTTTTTCGATGAAAGAGACACAGGATGCGTACATTGGACTCCACGAAGTTGGGTGGCCTTGACATGTCAACTTGACAGCTTTAAGCATCCAACTCCGATTCTGCATGAACGACTGAATGATCTTAGAAGTTTAACACCGACCAGGCACGAAATCTCCTCATATCTCGTCCCCGAAATGTATGACGGCATCGAACAAGTCGGCTCGGCGAAATCCCCAAAATCGCTATGAACGCAGCTCTGCAGACTTTGTGGCCTGCCCAGAACAGACAATTGACAACAGCACAAACGGCTGGATTGCACCCGTAGCCACCCCACCTTCAAGGTACCAAGCCACGTTTCCAGCGGACCTCGATTGCCCACTCGTGGAGCTGGAGTTGCCACTCTCCTCGTCCTCAGCCTGTGGTGTCCACATTGGATGCTGAAGGCTCCAAAGTAGCGCATCTTGCCCTGACTTGGACAGCGCCCAAAACGAAGTCACCAAACACATGACTGCTTTGAACGCAAGCCGGCGCTTGCACCGCTGGGCACAGCATCGAGTTTTCAAAGCCCTCTGAACACGTTTTGCTGATTTACCATTGGACTGGTAAGCATCTTCGGAACCAGAGTCTTCCTCACCAAACAAGACCTGGCTCAAGGAAAAGCTTGCCATCGCTGGGCCTTGCTGAGACACCGAGCTGGATTGTGACCCACCACAGGAAGAGCCGTACTCTGACCCACCATAGGAAGAGCCGCACTCTGACCCACCATAGGAAGAGCCGTACTCTGACCCACCATCGGAGGAGACGTACTCTGACCCAGTATTGGAGGAGCCGTCCTCTGACCCAGCACTTCCGGATTCTGATTCACTCGCACCGGATGAACCCTCGTCGCCGCACTCAGACACTGTAGCCGAAGTTTGTTGTCTCTTTCGTTTCACCATGACGCCTCATTGATCTCATGTCTCTACACAACACACTGACTCTGACAGCACAATAAGTCACAATCCTAAACTTCGGCTGCACATCAAAGCACAGTAGACAGAGGCCAAAGTTTTGCTGTCAAAAGGTACTCGTACGATTATATAAGCTTTGTTGGATGATTGACCGAAAGCATAGCTTGATTTTCAACTGATGGATGATAACTCGTTGGTCTGAGCACTGCATGAGCAATCTGAAACAGGAAGCTTGCATTCAACCGGCTGATCAACTGAAAGTCCGGTGACTGTGCATCGCAAACTTAACATCATGCTGCACGCAGCAACTGAAAGCAACTGACTGGGCGAGCACGCACACAGACACACACACACTCTCTCTCTTTCTCTCTCTCTGTCTGTCTCTCATGTGGCAGACGGGCGCGAGCTGCAGTAGCCTGTTTCCTGACACCACAGACCGGAACGCTTCCATCGTGATTCTGCCCACTCACAGCCATAAGAGTCGGTCCTCAGAGACAATCGCAGAAACTTATAGCTTCCCTGCATCAACCGAAAACAACACACAGGCACAGGAACAGACTTTTGCGAACCGGAGCACTTCCAGCATCGATCTGCCCACTCATCGCCACAAAGACTGGGTCCTCAGAGACTCCAGCACAAACTTCACCGATAAGAGACCCGCAAGAAACAACGTCTCCATAAATGCATTTTGCAGCCCGGAGCACTTCCAGCCACACGTCACTACCAGAGCGGGACCTCGGAAAAGACAGTCCTCTGACTAACCATCCCTAGAAACTTCATCCGACCTGCAAGACACAAATGTACATGAGAGGCTTTGCAAACCGAGGCACTTCCATCATCCATTTGCCCACTCATCGCCATGGCATACCAAACGGGTCCTCAGAGCCAGCAACACAAACATCACCCGACCCGCAAGACACAAATGTACATGAGAGGCTTTTGCAAACCGGTGCACTTCCATCATCCATTTGCCCACCCATCGCCATAGCATAACAAATCGGTCTGACCTCAGAGCCAGCAATTAAAGAATTACCCGACCCTCAAGACACAGCATGTGCACAAAAAACTTTGCAATCCGGAGCACTTCCGTCATCCATCCATTTGCCCACTCATCGCCATGGCATAACCAGTGGGTCCTTAGAGCCAGCAATAGACAAATCACCCGACCCGCAAGACACAGCATGTGCACAAAAGGCTTTGCAAACCGGAGCACTTCCATCATCCATCCATTTGCCCACTCATCGCCATAGCATAACCACTGGGTCCTCAGAGCCAGCAACCATAAATCCCGACCCACAAGCACTGGGTCCTCGGAGCCAGCAACCAGA